CTGACCCATTTGGGATTGTGCTCATCATAATTGGTTTCATTCTGCTTTTGTCTGATATTTCCTGTTGCTGTTTACATGAAATCACACACTTTCTAAGTGGGAATATTTCACACTACATTATAATTACATTTATTTAGTGTGCAGATTTAGGGTTCTATAGCAATCTTTATTTAGAATCTTACCACCTATGTGGCAAGTGTGGATGCATACAATTTGAAGAAAGAATTGAGTTTTTCCAATTCCAAAAGCACAAATCCTCTTTGAGGATGAGATGTCCTTACCTCCCCAGAACTGAGAAAGAAGCGTGCAAAGTGGCCATACTAGACTCTTCATCTGTATTGCTTTGGGTCTTCACTAAGTTTTGGCATTATTAGTCCACCTCTTTTTAACCCATTCACCCTTTTCTCCACTCTGTCTCCCCACCATTCCATTGTTGTTTTCTAAACATTCTGTACCACTGACTATTTCATTTAGTACCATTTACTATTCTTTATTTACTGTGCATGTTGTCTCATGGACCAGTGCTTTTGCACAGGGAAAGTGAAACCCTCTTTTAACTCCTTTGTCTGGGAGAAATAGATACTATCTAAGGCATTATTCAGTGTGGGATGCCTGGCTTGAATCCTAGCATCCAAGTTAGGTGCCCCCCTTCCCTACCCCACTGTAATACCATATTGTATATATCATATCTTGGATTTCACTGAATTCAAATGCTGGTTCAGATGACTAGCCTCATTAGACTGCAGTTTCCTGTGAGCTAGGGACTGTATTGTTTCTGCTTTCTGAGCTCCAAGTTCTCTTTTATCATTTCTTACCATTCAAGGTAAGGGTCAATCCATTTTATCACTGAAGTCTTACCTGACCATACCAACCCTCAGTGCTGCCTCCCAACTTTTAACTTCCAAAATTCATTTCTGGAACATTTGAAATCTTATATGGTTTACCTCACTTTCTACTTTATGTTACTCCAGCTAGTTCATAATGAGATTGTATTATATATAATTGGCTGCCCCCACTATATTGTGCCAAACATAGTACCATGAACATAAGATTTGTTCTTTCATTTAGAAACATTTGGTCTTTCAAACAACAAAATACCCATTCTGTCATATATACACATTATATGTACAATATATATGCTATATGTGATGTATGAAATAGAAGTGTACACAGATGTATACATGAGTTTATGTATGCATACATATTAATATAAATGCATATATCTAATTTGTCTAGGAGATACAGAGATTATTTGAAGTTTTATTCAGTCTGGGATGCCTGTCTCTATCCCCATAGATTTGTTAGGTGTCCACTTTTTCATAGTCCATGAGTAAGGGGATTTTTCAATCACTGGCCTATCTTGGATTCTAATGATTGAAAATTATTTATATACATATATATGTATATATGTTTATGTGTGTGTATCTCCTAGTACATTTATTGCCTAATACATTTTAATTGCAATTTATATATATATATATTTTGAATATTATTAGGAGAAATGCAAAATCTCCTTTTATTTGAGCTTCAATCATAAAAAGCAGCTCTTATCATCATAGATTTTAACTTTTAAATCTTAACTATTCAAATTGTTTTAATTAGGTGACATTGGACATTTAACACAAATATTTCTTTAAATTTATACTTTGTTCTCATATGCATATAGGGGTTTGTGTAATGCATTTTGAATATAGCAGTATACTTGAAACACTAAGAAAATGTTAGGAAAAAATAGCATCACCAACACCATACATTAAATGCTTTAACATTTATTAAGAATGGTATAATACCTTTTCTTACATTGAATATTCACTATTCTTGTGTCCTTTTTTCAGGCTGCTTCTATTTTCCTGTTTCATCTTTTTTATTAGCATAACCAATTATCCACTGGTAACTGTTTTCAAATCACCTATGTTGGGACATTTAAATCTAATGATTGCATTGATCTACCATCATCCAAAATTCATCAAGTAAATTTAAATCCTTAATTTCCACCTCCCACTTTAATTTCCTTTATAACATTATCATCTTTTTTGTACTCATTGCCAGTGAAAGCTCTTGTGATAGTAATCTTCCATTTTCTCTTTGGCACTTCTATATTTAGCCATTTCTGAGTATAGTGATTTTTGTCATTACTAGTTAGCTGTATTACAAATTCTACTGGGACTTAGCTCTATATATTATCATACTGAAAAATTATAAGTCCTCTATCCCTAAATTTTGTGTTACTATTATTTTTAGAAAAGTTCCACTTGAAGTAGAACCTGGTAATAATCAGTTGGTAGTCTTAAAAAAGTAAATAATTATCCTTTTTGTGGGAGTTAGGAACTGGGGATGAGGGGGTAGACGATGAATATATTTTCATGCTTTAGTTTTAGCCTAATGATTTCAAGAGTTGACAGTACACACACACACACAAAAGAAAAATTGTGGAAAAGCTAAAGAACATGGTGCAATCTTACTTGTTGATAAAGTGCTGAGCACTGATCTCAATTAAGTTCTTGAAATGGAATTTAATTATTTAATATCTTACTGCACGTATTTTCCATCATCTCTGCATAAAGCCTGGGATCCACATATGTCTTACTCATGACTTGATATTGATTTAGGAAAACCACAGCAAGTTATGGTATGCAATGCCTTTGAGGCCACTAATGTAGACTCCAGGGGCAGAATGAAGTAGATAGTTTTTAGGAGAGTATTTTTCAAAGTGGGTTTTACACAGTACTAGTCTCATAAAATGCCTCAGGACAAAGAGATTTTTTGTCATATAGGATTTGAAAAGATTTGTAAAGGAGTCAAGTTGTAAAGAAATTTCTTTATGTATTCAACCATGAAGCTTCCACTCCTTTATATTCTTTTTTTGTAAAATCCCTATTAAAATCCCATAACCTGTCTTAGGAAAGACTAGAATATGGATATTATAATGGGGGTGGGGGATGTGAATGAAGCTAATGCAGATTTTATTGCTTGTGAATGTATTTAAAAGCTTTGCATATTGGTTCTTCCATCTTAGTTTCAAAAGATTCATCAAAAAGATACTTTCCTAGAAATCAGGGTAAAAATGTTAACAGAAGATATTAATCTATTTATGAAGGCAAAGGTTATTTCTGTTTTAACTACTTTGAATATTTAGTTCTTAGCACAGTATCTCAATAATCACTTACAAAGGAACTGAATAAACAAGCAACCAAAAAAAACCAGTTTTGTCAGAAACCAGTTATTTAGAAGTGTTGTCTAGAAAAACATCGTCTAAAAATTGTCAAAAAAAATGTCTACTACTTAGAGGCTGTATCCATCAAGGTATTTACAGGCAACGTTTGCTATGATGCTATAGACCTTACACTGTTCCAATTAGAGTGGCCTGAAAATTCCTGTCAGGGACATTGACCTGAGTCCAAGGTCATCGAATGTGAATCACAAATGTAGCTTTCCTTGATTACTAAGATGTCCAAATACACACATACACATGAGTTTATATATGTAAACATACGTACAATATCTTGGTAATATTATATCAGATATATGTACATATATATTTTTTCCCCTGTATCTTGATCAATTAAGATTTTGAAATGTAAGTTAATTAATTACAAGGAGAAATGTGTTGACTAGAGGATGCAAAGGTAGGTCGCCTTTGCAGTTCTTCATAAACTTAACACACAGCTATACAATTGTCTTGTATCTGTCTCCGTGATTCTTGACAGGTTTGCAGCACTCCCATGTTCCAAATTTCTTCTCTGTGCCTGTGAAGGTGAAGTCCAAAACCAAGACTGCACTAAATGCATCAAGGTAAAAGAATCTTTGAAAATGTTTGGCAACAGCCTATTGTCTTCCCTCCTTAGCTAGCATTTCTACTTCCCTTTTCTTTTGAACTCTTAAAACTTGGTTTTCTGTTATTGTACAATTTTATTTCACATCTCTGTCATGAAATAAAGTTTAGCATGAACACTGCTGCTCTCCTCTGTAGAAGAGATAAAATATATTTTCACCAAAACGTGAACATTAAATATTTCTTGTTTAAATGCTTTCCTGCAACATTGACATGTCTTTTATCTAGCTAATATATACAATAATCAAGAGAGCATAGTGCATTATTTTAATAAACTTTTCGGATAATTTTGCACTTTTGCCATGTGTAGATGTTTTCATAATACACACAAATTCCATAAAGCAATAATTGTTTCCTAATTGCTGTACCATTTATCATACTGATAAAAAATCTTTTGTATATTAATATAACATTATTTGTAATAACTCTAAAGCTATTTTATTCTCATATTAGCAGTCAAAATTAAATGGAATTCTGAAATGTATTGTACTTTTTAAGTGAGTGTTTCAGGGTTTAAAAATTTTCTTTCTCCTTTTTCCTGTCACTATGATTATTATTTTAAAGAACACAGAACTACTTTTTATTTTTGGAAATAACATGGTCCTACAGTTATACTTTACAGTGAAAAAGAATAAAATATTTATGAAGTACAATAAAACAGGATATTTTTCTTTTCTACTTAGTACCTGAGATAACTTTTTAACATCCAACATGTTAAAAGAAAGTTGTGATTAACTGCTCTAAATCAATTAAGAAATATTTACCTTCTTCAAATTCTGATATTTACTTATACTTTTAAAAATAATTTATTAGTAATTTTGTAGATAAAATATTTGTCTTATATCTACCTGAAGGTCTTATAGCATGAGGAAAGTAGCAAGTCTGGAAAGTAATCCTGATAGAGTGGGATCTATACTTTCGAATGCTTGGTACATTCTTCATCAGTGTCTTTTAGTCACTACTATAAGTCAACACCAACTCTTATGTACATAAATGGCTTGTTAACAAATTTGAAATGTGAATATATTTTATTTTTTCCCAGTGAGTACACAATACACAATTTTTTGACAATACTCTTAACCAATTTTATGCCAATTTCTTTGCTGATCTAACAACATCAAATGAAACACATTAAGATTTTGGACGCTGTTTAGTGACTTAAACTACAGTTTAAAAAAATTTCATCTATAAAACAAAGTATAAAAAGTCTACCCACGGCCACAAATTCCCTTCTCTTGCAACAATTTAAAGTCACAATAAATGGTTTTGAAATTATGATTAAAAAAATAGTAAATTGAATGTCACTCAAAAAAAAAGTATGGTGTTTCATTTGAAGTACACATTATACTTGTAGATAAGCAAAATAAAAGTAACTTCACCTCTAAGATAATGTGGAAAGGCATGATGTTTTATACCAATTCTTGTCCTGTAATTCTACAAACATAATATACAGAAGCAGATGGACAAATAAGTGAATGTTATGGTTCTGTATAATACTGACACACAATCACTTTCCAGTGGAGAAGATAAACCATAGTTTAGAGGTCATCATATTGTTACCATTATATTATCAATGGACAATTACATAAATTTATTGAATAGAAATTGGGAGGTGTTCCACCAAAGTGCATACAAACTTCCAACTCAAATCCCATTGAAAATATATTTAAATACCCAGAGCATTAAACTGTCATAGAACACCATTAAATCTGTTTTGTTACTCAGCAGTAAACTTGCAATGGTTTTACTTCCCTTTGGTTATGTGATATCTTACATGTTGGTCTTGATTTTCCTATAATCTCGCTTGAACTGGATTCAAATCCTGTGACGGAATCCATTGTTTTCATGCCCCTGTATTATCCCACCTCTCTTTAAAACTCTCATGGGAAAGATTTGGAGGAGGGGTAGGGCAACTCCACCTGCATACACTGGCACACCTGAGTTTGGGCACTGACACGTCTATTTTCCTAAAGGAGACTTTGTTATGAATGAAGCTGTGCTTGTGTGGGGCATGGCCACATAGCAGTGTTTTCTATGAGTGTAAGATAAGTTCACATTTTCTCCCAGCCAGATTCCCTTCTGATGGCTTATGCAAGTCTCTGCTTGGACCTGCAGAAGCGTGAGCTCCATGAATTTTTAATTATTTATTTAATCAGCTATGACATGAAAAAGCATGGTGGCTGTCATACATGTTTATGTTCTTTTGTTGACATACTGATTAGCAGCTTTTGACATATAGCAAGTTGGTGAAGGCTTTTGATTTTTGATCATGTTTCTAAATTTATTTATATAGCCACAGCATTTTATCTTGCCTTCTATCTATGTGAGGATGACATTTGGGTGCAAGATTTGACATACCAATTTATTTAAAACTAGATTTCACAGGCAACACGGACTACTCTAAAAGAACATTCCAGGAAACCGCAAGGTCTGCATTGACATAATATAACTGTAACAGTTAGTTTTTATGTACTGAAGAAATCAGGAAGGTATGGTGCTATGCCCCACATTATTCCAAAAGTCATCTGCCTACACAGTCTTCATTTTTCAAGTCTTGCTTTATTAATCACCTACACCTGCCAGTTACCAGGGTCAAAGGCTATGTGTAATACATGTAGTAAATTAAAGTTTTAAACTAAATTGGGTCATAAAGAAGCACAAAGGGGGAACACTAATGAAAAATCCTTTCAGGAATTCGCTTCCTTCTAAGCAGAAAGAGGTGAAGTAGGGAACTGCATAAATAAAAATTTAAATTCCTCATGTCTTAAAGTTGTGAATAAGTTTGTACCCATTCTTTGCAGAAACTTTTCACCTTCCCCAGTTTCTTTGTCCCAGAGAAATCAAACTGCATTAAAATTCAGGCACTGATGGCAGAAAACAGATAAAGGATTTAATGTGTGTTACAGAATTTATTTTCCCTTCACTGAAGAAATGAACGACATGGCACCAAGAAGATGTTGGGGCCTGTAAAGAACACTACATTCTATGCTTGCCTGTGCTGATGCAGTCTCAGGGAATAAAAAAGGTGGAAGTATTTAATTTTGTCATCCCTCTGCTATAACAACATGACATAAATTGGTGACTGAGCCAATAATGCATGGAGTGTGAATTACCATTCAAAGGGCTCCTATATTATAGAACTGATCCCAATCATTACGTTGAATGTTTTTTGAAATATCAACTATTGAAGACACTATAGGAAAAATATGAGAAGGTATAGACAAAAACAGAATTTAGGATTGTATAGGTAGCACATGGGAAAATGTCATAAGTGGGAATTTCAGGAAGGTTCTCTTCTACTTGATTGATTGACTATACATGTACAGTAGCTAACATATATTTCAAAGTCACATTTATTTTGAGCATACATGACTGATGTTCAGGAACTTTTTGTTCTCAAAGTCGTGAAAACAAATGAGGCAGGACACTGTCATTAATGTCCACTTACAAGGTTTGGTTTTATTTAAAAAGTGTATAAACATGCATTTTTCTCCTTTATAATTTTTCTTTTCAATTTACTCATTCAAAAATGGGTCAAACGTATTTTAGTTGGTAGCCAATTTCTGAGAATGTACCATAAAATATTTATTTCAATAAATCTACTTACTGTGAACTGAACATACTCTGAGCACTGCTTTTTAAGCACTTACAATTTGGCTGTACATTTGGTGGCATCAACTTTACTTCTTAATCAAATAAAACATAAAATTGTATATAGGCTGCATTATTTTTAAAAAAGTCATCAATTTCAGTGATGCAGCTCTATCCTCTGGTGTGTACTGTACATGTATTAGAAAGATGAAACAAGATATTGCGATAGAGTTTATATTTGGAAGCAGCCTGAGTATGTCTTAATAATAAATTGCTTCTTTAACTATTTGCTAGATATTCCAGAGTTCATTTGTTTGTTTCCTTGGGGAACTTCACGTTATACTCTGACTTAATGAGTTGGAAAGATTAATTATGGTAATTCAGAAAATGCTTTTTTAAAAAACTGTAATATAAATACAGCTCAGGTGAAACACCTTAATTTTCTTTTGCTTGTAATTCTCAGATGGGTCAATTACAATGACAAGAAAAGTTTATTCTAAATAAAACTTTAATTTCTTTTTTTCTTTTTAGCAAGTTTAGTACATCTTTGCTACCTGTAGATTTTAAAGCATATTCAATCTTAAGACTTATCTTCCTTCTTTTGACCCCTGCTTTTGTCAATAGTAAAAGCCACCTTTCTGCTTCTTTTATTGACTCAGTCCCTGATGTTCTTTTTTTTTTAGCAAGTTTAGTACATCTTTGCTACCTGTAGATTTTAAAGCATATTCAATCTTAAGACTTATCTTCCTTCTTTTGACCCATGCTTTTGTCAATAGTAAAAGCCACCTTTCTGCTTCTTTTATTGACTCAGTCCCTGATGTTCAAAGAAGACTTTGCCAACACCACTGTTCCTTTGCATCTTCCTACTTCTACACCCCAACTGAAAACCATCTAACATGATTGGTTACAACCAGCATTATCCAGCCTAGCTTACAGTACAGAAACTCCCTTCACATTCAGTCTTTTTCTTCATGTCATGAGGAGTAGAGATTTGTGCTTATCACCAAATAAAATTGCAGTGCAAAATTTAAACATAAAAGTTACACAATTAAAAGTTAATATATGGCACCACAGCCTATTAATTCACATATAGTACAACAGACCAATAAGAACAGACAATAATATGAACAGAGCTAAAAAGAGTGAGCTTGCATAGCAATGCACAAAAGAAATTATATACAGAGGAAAATCCTTTTCTTCCTGGAGGGCGAGTTTTGTTTTCTTTCTTTTTTATATACTCCAGACAGGAAAGAGTTAAGGTGGGTGGTGTACTTAAGAGAAGAACACAAGTAAAATATCTGTGGGATATGTGTGGCTGTGTGTCTTTACATTGCATTTACAGTTCTCTTAATAGTACATAAATAAAGAAATTGTTCATTGCACTGTTTAGTGTCATCACTTCCATGAGTTCAGACCTGATGGTCCTTCAGAGCAGCTTTGTATGTCTCCTCTCAGTTACTCTAAAAAGAGATTAAAAAAAAAAATCAGAAACACTTAGTTTACATTAAATTAAATATCCTCCTATGCTGACCAGCATCACAACAAGCAAAGCAACCAGATAATAAATGAAGGTAAGCTCATTGGATAGATTTTGTCAGTTTGTAAATCTAAGTAACTTTACTTGAAGGAAATGACCAGGGAAAGAAAAAGATACAATGTAGAATTCTGATATTTAAAATCCAAGTACAGTTATTTTTGCATTCCTTGTGTCAAAATAAAAGTTAAAGAGAAATCCATATAGTCATGAATCAAATTAAATAAATCTTAATAATAATCAGATTGGCAATAGCCAATGATACTAATGATAATACTGATAAATAAGATCAATAAAGAACTTCACAGTTTCTAAAATGTTTTCCCTTTTCATTATCTCATGAAATCCCCCAAACAGTCTGTAATGTGAACATGAGGGTAATGCTATTTTTTCATGAGGAAATAGATTAGGAAGGTAGTTTACTTTCTCATGTCCCTTGACCAGTTAAGCAGTTGAGAATATTAGAACCTAGGACTGTTCTCTCAGTAGCACTTAAACTGAATGCATGAAGCATTATAATTCTGACATAAGTGTATTTGGTAATCTTCCTGATAAAATTATCACAAGGAGTTCAATGTTTTTTACTGTGACATACTGTAACATTCTTAAACTTCTCTATTACTTAGTATTTTATATTTAGAAAATATATTAGTTATACTACCAATGCCAGTTCTTTACTCAAAAAGAGAAATTTATTTATAAGATATTATTATAATTAAAATATTACAAGTTAACTAACATCAAAGATCAACTCTTCAAGGTTAACTCTTCAAATTTAAGAAATAAACAAAGAGCAATTAGAGAATGAGGAATTTTTAAAGAGATTGTTTAAACTACAAAAGTCAATATGTTTTCTTTGCTTTATTGCACACAGTTAAAAAGGCAAAGTAAATGACCAAATGGACTATATTTAACTTGTAAGTATTAAGACTAATTGCCTAAATTAAAACAATTTTGAAATAGCAGAAATGTTTATTTCACTGACTGCCGTAAATAACGATGGTCTAAGTTATGACCAAAATTGTTCAAAATCAGAATTGATTTTTTCCTCATAGTAGAGTAAGTTTTCTATTATTCTGAAATTTGTTTAATATGGCAAGTTGTTAGCCCAATATCTTTCTGAATCACTATAGCCTTTTAAATGACTTAAAGCACTTACATAATTCACCTGTAAACTGTCCTTGACTACTGGAGCCCATATATCCTATGTCAAGAAGGTCACTGGCATTGCGCTGGTGCCCCCCCCTCAACACCTCAGCCTTCCTGGGTCCAGTTGATCCTTTAGAAGAAGCTGTTCCTGATGAGCTGTGGCCACCTGGAGATGGGAAACTGGGCTTGCTATAGGGCACCAAGGTCTCCTCTGAAAAAGAAAAACCCACAAAGGGCTAAGTTAAACAGCAACATGTGGGTGGAGGGTGGGCAAAGCACAAAATTAACTCTTAAATATTAAGCTCAAAATGGGCTATTTTACCACTTCACTCTTTAGTAAAATTGAAATTATAAGGTTTAATCAGTCCCAGATATTAAAGGAATTTCCATGTGCAAGCAACATTCCCCACAATAGGAACTGAAGCACGATTCAATGAAAAGAGATCCTGGGATAAGTGTACAATGTTATGTATTCTTTGCAAAATTTAAATTCAGTATAAAAGCTGCATACAATAAACCATAGTTTGCTTAAAAAAGCATATCTGAGAATGATGTCTGGAGTTCGATCAAGCTCCAATTTAATTTTCCCATTACAATTGAAGGAACATGTTTTTTGTTTTAGTTTAAGTTATGAAAACATTTTCTCAATCAATTAGACAAAGAACTATTTGTTAGTTAATTAAATAATTTTTCTTGTTTCTTGGGACATAAATACATTATTTGAAATTCTGTGTATTTTCTTAAAAGAAAAAGAAATACAAATATTTTAATAAATAATGTGTTAATGTTATTTTTTATGTAGTCTCTCTACAAATAACTGGTGT